CCCACAACTTTCACAATCTTAATTTTCACAATTAAAAAGTTTCCTTTAATCTTCAAAAAAAATAAACAACATCATTCATCTTTTGGAATAATCAGGAAACTACTTACACAGAAGTAACAAGCATCCCATCAGTGATATACAGGAATATAAATATGGGAGGTAGAATTCCCAGAGGTCTGTGAAGAAAACATTGAGCACGGCCTTAGCTTATTACAAATAGGCTACTTACGTCACATACACAACTGAATTAACTCTTTTCTTAAGCGTTCAGGATTGAACAATTTTATTTTCAAGTATAAACTAAAAATCACTCAGTTAATCCAGCAGGCAACTAAATTCCCAAGTACTTCAGCTTGAAAAACATCTTCAGCTTTTACTTCCATCCCACTTAAGTCAGTTGTTTTTAACATACGTCGTGCCCATGTGAGCATGGAACTTTGCAACGTGCTAAAACCAGATTTAATAGAAAAATGATATTGACTAAATTAAGACAGCTTCTTCAACCTGGGCAATACTCACATAGCATTTACTAGAAACACATTTAATTGAAAACATGCGTTTCCATAATTAAAATGAAACTAGTGTGGTGTTTTTTTAAATTTCGTACCATACAAAGACTCCATACTGGCAGCATCATTGTCTATGAGTGCTGAAGCCACCCATACGATTCCAAGGATAAGCAGTGCAAGTAGAATAAGCATTACAAGGGTCTCCAAAATGCGTGCTCTGATGCCCTGTGGGCAGAAGAGGGGAGAGGGAAGAAAGAACAGAGCCAAGAACTTTGAATCAGGTATTTTCAAGCATCAGAAAAATACAAATAAATCGCAGTTCCTTCTTCATAAACATATAATCACATTTTATCACGCAGACAAAAGCATGTAACACATGTAAAAGGCAGTGTATAAAAAAGGAAGTGCTTACGGCTTTATAGCACCTAGATTGCGTTTTTCCCCTTAAAACCACAGAAAAATGTTTTAAATTGCATATGCCTTACAGTTCTCATTAATCTCATTATTCCATAAAGTATTCTTTATACCACATGATTTTGCTCGAGCATTTTTAAAAGATGGATTACTTTTCTAATACTTTCAGCAAAGAAAGTGGATTAGCAAATTTTTATCTATGATTCCAATCAAGGGAATGGAAAGCCAATTATGGCAAATATCCAAATGGCCCGGCAAGCATTAAACCCTGCGCAGGTACAATGCACCAATTTAGTTAAAATACATTCTTCAGCTGCAATGGTTTCTGCACCATTCCTCACAGTCTTCAGAGCCCTCAAGTGCACGGTGGGAGAACTGCTCGCTCTTATTCTGCCCACACGCTGCTGCTGCTGCAGCCCCATCCATTACCTCCTGTCTTTGCATGCTCCATGCTGAACGGAACACGTACATCTCATTTACACCACACGCAAATCACAGGTTTACAAGGTCATATCATAGCACTTGCTCTTGAGTCTAAAAATGTAACAGCACTCTACTAGTTGAGTGTTAGATTTGCACAGGTAAATATACCAAAAACCACACAAAATCTTTTTTTTTCCCTCTGGTGTTTTTAACTCTAAATTTTACTAATTTCAAGCAATAGAGCTATCAGGAAACTTTCTTCAGGCATCCTTGCCATTAAGGGACCATCAGATTGCTGTTCACATAACAATTCTACTTTTATTTTTCTTCATTTGCCTGTATACATCTCCATAAGCAAACCCAATCTCTTGCTTCTCATGCACGTTCACACCATCTGAGGCATATTCCACTGAAAAGTCTACTTTATAGTTAAAAGCAGAAAGTTTGCTTTACTTTATCTACTTTTATCACTTCTTACCTCACTGCTTAACACAGGAGGTTAATCATAGAATCATAGAATGGTTAGCTGTCTCCGCTTCCACCCTCTGTAGGCTAACCTCTTCATTTTCAGTTGGTCCAGGAGCTCCTTGCTCACCCACGCAGGCCTCCTGGTCTTTTTGCCTGACTTGTTCTTCGTCAGGATGCACCTCTGCTGAGCTTGGAGGAGGTGCTCCTTGAATGTGGACCAACTTTCCTGGGCCCCTCATCCCTCCAGGGCCACCTCCCACGGCACTCTGCCCATCAGGTCCTTGAAGAGGCCGAAGTCCGCCTTCTTGAAGTCCAGGGTACAGAGCTTGCTGAATGGTTTCCTTGCTGCCCCATGGATCTTGAATCTTTATGTGACATTTACCCTGAAAATTACGCTCCCTACATAACCACTGCATTCAACCATGAATGAGGACCTCAGGCACCCTAACCATGAGCACTGATCTCTTCTAGCACACCAGTTCCTCTCCATCATTAGTCCTCCGCAAAACAGCTGAGGTAGCAAGAAGGAAAAGCAGATGAAAAGAGACATACACAAAATTCCCCTCGAGGCTTGAGTGGGCAGATTTAAGTCAAACTCCATAAAAGATCTCCAACACCAAATTTCAAATTGAAGGTAGGATATGGATTTACTTCTAGAATGTATTTTGTGTAGAATAAAAGTGGCTTTGAGGTCATTAAAAGTTACTAAAATGTTGGTTTTGTAGTGCTCAGAAACTAGCTTTCAGTCTTCCATGAGCTATTCTGAAGGTGATCATCTAAGCTATGCACTTGAAGATTAACCAGCCATATGTTTAATATTAAAGTTTTGAACTTATAAGTTAAGTTCAATAAGTGACAATAAGTCACCAGGAAGCAAATAGATTACAGTCCAAATACTGAGCATCGATACAGAGCCTTCACTTTACAACAGAAGTCAGCCACAGGATTAGAAAATCCAGAACATTTAAGGATGTATGCACACAGCTGCTTCAAGCTTTCCAAAAACCTTAAAGATTCCTTTCCTCTCCTTAAGCAGAGGAAAAGATAAAGCTACCTTCCAAGTTTCTGAAAGCCTCAGCCACAGAAATTGGATTCCTTATTTCCCTACTATAAGACACATGCACAAATCTCAGCCTCTCTGACTTCAAGTTTCACAGCAACAGATTCTTCTGGACAAATCTGGAAAATACTTCACTTCACATGGTGACCCAAACACCGACTCCTCCTCCCCTAGAGGAGCACAATTATCAAAACAGAGAAACAAGAACCACACTGCGATGGAGATGGTCAACAATAAATAACATTTTTCATATTTACTGCTAGTGTTCTCTGAAGACAGGCAAGATTAGGACAGCACAAATAATACTCTCTCTCAAAAAAAAAAAAAAAAAAAAAAAAAGGAAGATGACCACAGCTGAGGTTACCAGGGCTTTTATCCAAAAGTACTATCTGCACAAACTCTCGAAAAAAATATTTTTTATTTATTTGTTTATTTAAGATGCTTAAGCATATAGGTGAATACTTAAGCTCAATTAGGCACCCGTAAGTTTGTGCCCTATTCAAACATTAATGTTCCAGGAACATTAGTTCACACTTACATACATTAGCACACCTGTCAAATATCTGCTATATTCAAGGAATGACAGGTACGGAATTTCGCCCCATGCACACACGCACAGAAAATTTCTGGAAAATCACAAAATGGTTGAAGTTGGCAGGGATTTCTGGAGGTCATCTGGTCTAGCCCCCCTGCTCAAGCAAAACCACCTACAGCTGGTTGCCCAGGACCACCTCCAGTCAGCTTTTGAGTACCTCCAAGGATTGAGACTCTACCACCCGCCTGGGCAACCTGCGCCAGTGCTCAGTCACCCCCACAGTAAAAAAAAAAAAAAACACTGAGAAGTGACCCTTACACACTGTTACCACTTTTTATTTTTGCTGAAGGTTCTTTTGTTTGTTCTGGTAAGAAATTTAAAGCTTAAAACATTATCATTAGTAACATCACTAATTTAAGAGCTGGGCAAAAATCTATACTCCTGACTTTGAGAACAGACAGAAAAACCAGGTAACTACAAGCAATGTTTCACTTTATTTCAATTAAAGCAAAACTATGTAAATAAATCTTGACATTCAATGCAGAATAATTTTTTTTCTGTGCAAAAACCTCTTCACTGACAGTTTGGCTTAACATTTCTTCTTTGAGTCATTTCACTTCTCTCCCACAGCCCCATTATATTACTCAGATTTCCTGGATGAACCAAAAGTCACGGCATATCTTCATGGCACAGAAGATACTGTCACTTCTATTTCACATAATACTTGTTGCACTTTTTGAATCTGTTTATTCCTCACAATTTTTTGTGTGAGAAAGAGCATTAACTTTAGAACCTGACACCTTCAAAACCAGCAACAACTCCATCTAAAACTGGAGAACTTGAACAATAAATGTACTCTTACAAGCTTGTTTATGTTCAGTCTACACCATCACAGCTGTCTTGAGTAGCGAGTAAACAAACACATACAATATGAAAAAACATGTAGTGTAGGTATACAGGACTACTTCAAATTAGCATTCTAAGGAAGGAAAAATAGTCTTACAGCACTACAACTTAACAACAAAAAAAGTGATTGACTTTGAATCAGTTCTTTGATTTCTCATCATCAGTGTGCAACCAGAAACAAAGCAAACCTTCACCACACAAGCGAAGGAGGTGACCTACGCAGCAAATGAAGTGCACAAGCACACAACACACGCGTGTGTATGTGCACACACAGGGATAGGTAAGGGGATAGAGGGACAGTCACCTCTGACGTCAGAGTTTTCCACTTGGACTGTTTAATCAGGAGAAATCGTCTCATGAGCTCTTACAATGACTGCTTAACATTCCTATGGAAACTAAACTGACTATAAGTGAGAGGAATGGGAAAATACGTTGTATTTTTCGTTTTCTGTACTGTACTCAAGAAGGAAAACTAAGTTATCCAAGTCTTCCTCTAGTTTTCATTTCCTAATGGTTCTGACAGATAAGAACAAGAAAAGGACACACTGTACAACCAATTGACTTGCATAGAGTTTTTCAGAAAGTTGTTCTACATCACAGCTTTGAAACCTGCATTTGATAACACAAATACTATGTAATTCTTGAGATGTCCTTAATTACAAAGAGAATGCAAATACCATAATTAATTCAGTGTTTTATTAATTATTTTAACAACATTAAACTTGCAGTTTAACTTGTTTTAAGGGAGGAGGGATTTATCTCCAAACCAAGCACAGATTGCACAGTAAAGCACCAGAAGGATATCTCCAGGATATTGACATAATGAGGAAAAAAGACTGGTTTGCATCTATCCTACATTCTTGTATTTCAAGAACAAGACAGCAGTTCCAGCAGTTTGGCTGGAAAGGTGCCCAGCAGAAAAGGACCTGGGGGTACTGGTTGACAGCCAGCTGAATATGAGCCAGCAATGTGCCCAGGTGGCCAAGAAGGCCAACAGCATCCTGGCTTGTATCAGAAATAATGTGGCCAGCAGGACAAGGGAAGTGATTGTCCTCCTGTACTCGGCACTGGTGAGGCCACACCTCGAATACTGTGTTCAGGTTTAGGTCCCTCAATTCAAGAAAGACATTGAGGTGCTGCAGCGTGTCCAGAGAAGGGCCATGGAGCTGGCAAAGGGTCTGGGGCACAAGTCCTATGAGGAGCAGATGAGGCAACTGGTGTTGTTTAGCCTGGAAAGAAGGAGGCTGAGGGGAGACCTTATCGCTCCCAACAATTACCTAAAAGGAGGCTGTAACAAGGTGGGTGTCAGTCTTTTCTACCAAGTAACAAGTGATACGACAAGAGAAAACAGCTTCAAGAGGCACCACAGGAGGTTTAGACTAGATATTAGGAAAAATGTCTTCACTGAAAGGGTTTCAA